TACACCCAAACGCTTAAATGCTGTCCTTCCGGTTTGGCAACGTTTTGAAAAGTCGTGACAGATCTATCGAAATCTTCATAGTTCGTGACGTATGAATAATCAACAAAAATAGATTTCCAAGTGACAGTTAACCTGTAAGATGGATGAGTAAATATTTTCAAGATATTTTTAAGAAATAATAGTGTCAATAATAATTATTTTTATTAATATTATTATAAATATTATTGTGTTTAAATTTGATTTATATAATATGACTATAACTGTATGAAACTTGTAATGTGAAAAATGTACGGAATTTGGAACTCGATATTTTTTAGAAACAACAAGTTTGACTTTAAAACTTGTTATTAATTGTGTTAATAATTTCTTATAATTTTAGATAATTTGTCCTGTTATTCTGGGTTTTATTATCGAATAATATTGTTTAACCAAATTTTTTAATTAAAAACGTGTTATTTTATCAAATTTTATTCCAAAATTGACATTTGACTATATCTTTATTAACAAATATTTCTTTTATCTAAAAATGTTTGTTAAATTGTATTAAAATAACAATTTTTTTAAGATTCTTTATTTTCTATAAATCCTGGATAAGTAATCATTTTATTTACAAAAATCTTTATTAAATACAATTTTTATTTAATAGTTATATTATTTGTGGACCTCCACATGAAAAGGTCCCATTTGAAGGTTATAGTTTTCGAGGTAATTGGAATTACTCAATTTATGTAAAGAAATATCGTGATTTTTAAAATATTTGCTTTATTAATCTGCAATATTTCAAATGTATCATCATACTGTTTTCATTAAATTATTGTAAATTAAAGTGTTTATTCTCATTTTTGTTTGTTTTTTTTCTTAAATGTCTATTTTGTCAGTTTATATTGCAAAATTAATTATTACAGATTTTCACAAACGTTGGAAAATGTGGAACCTACTGATTAATCAATCTAAAAGTGCGTTTTTAACTTATTTAATAACCCATAATATGTTAAAGTTTCTAGAAGAAACAGAATTATTGACACATAAACTTTGATTTTCTTTTTGTTAAAATAAAACTTTCGATATTTCTTAACAATATGCACAATAGAAACATTGAAAGGTTTCTAAATGAGACTAGTTTCCCTCATCTAAATAAAAATAGCATTTTTAGAAATGGAAAAGGTTTTTTTTGTATCTCTTGTATTTTCAAAATGAAGGGAGGGAAAAAGTTAAAACTAAAAAATTTTCAAGTTAGGCAAGGAATTTGCCCTTATAAATTAGTCCAATAGTGCCAAAATGGGATCTTTTTATGAGGACGTTGACATTTATTTATTAAAAGTATTTGGTTTTTTTTTAGAAAACCTGAGAATCCAAGTGTTTGAAATTGCCATAATTAATGTTTAAAAGTTTCCAAAAAAATGTGGAAAAGCCAGTTGTTTTTTAAAATTTTTAATGATTCAAAAAAAGTCAAATTCCTTAAATTTTCTACTATTTGTGACATAAAGAAATCTTTAATAAAATTAATTTGTTTCCAAATCTATCAAATAATTTATGAGATCCCAAAATAAGATTAAAAATTATGCTGGAAATTTTTGAAATTTGACATTGAAAAAATTAAAAATGCTTGGAATCTTAAAGAGTTTTTTAATTGACAATGTTGCTAATTTATAATTAAAATTTTATAGAATTTGAAATCGATTGGGGATGTTGATAGCAAACAACATTTAGAAAAATCACAATATTTATTGAGAGTTCCTTCCATCTTTTCTCGAGATATGGTTCCTATCATTGACTCTTATGCTCAGAAAGTCAAGAAAGTCGATTCAGATGAAAATCATGCCTGGCCGAATAATGTAGGAAATTCTACAAGCGATTGCAAGGTTACAAATTTTAAATATATAAATTTTCAAAATTTGTATAATAATTATATTTTCATTAACATTATTAGGTACTATTTTTATAAAAAGTCACTCTTCTATGTCTATTTTTTCTACTACTTTTATTGAGCGAATTTTTCATTATACTGAATTTTTTCAGATAAATTTTCTTCCAGGAATTTGTTATTTTATGAATATTTTATATACGGAAATTTTTTTGAACATTCACTTAAAATTTTTCTTGACATTATTTTCGAGTCACTGAATTCTTATTCACCAACTTTTTAATTAACTATATTTTTATTTACAAAAAAGTCAATGGAAAATTTTTCAAGTAAGAATTGTAGAACCGCCCATTTTTTATGCATTCAAAACCTCTTGAAGAAGAAGTTAATTTATCAATTTGAATGATGTCTAAAGTTGTTAACGATTTTTATTATTCTTAGACTCATTTTCAGTTATTTCTTTATTTCCTATAGAATGAAAAGTTTAGAATCAGTTTTTGAACAGAAAATTGATTTTTAAAATTCGGAAAAATTTTTTAATTAAATTTCCTTGAAAAATCTAAATAATGCCACCTTTGATATATTTTACATGACGGTTTTTTGAAAGAAATAAATGACTTATAAATTAATGAATATTTTTGGTACAACTTTGACAGACTGCACTTTTTGCGAAAAAATTAGACGTTAACGCTTGCAAGTAAAAAAAAACTTGCAAGTTACTGCAAGTTTTTTGAAGTTTGACTTTTAGAAAACTATAAAAGTTCTTGGAACTTTTAATTCATACTTATGCAGAAATGGAACTTCAATTTGACGAGGTTCTTCATTTGTTAATCTTTCAAAATTTTATAATTTCTGTAGAATTTGTATCCATTCGGAGATATTGACGGCAAATAGTGTTCAGCACAATGGCAGCATCCATTGGAAATTACTTCAACCTCTTCCCAAAATGTGGATTATATCGCTGACTCCTGTAATCAAAAAGCTAAAACAGTCTACTCGATGGAAATTCCGCAATCCTGTATGGATTTCCTCTCAAGGATTTCTTCAACTTTTATTTCAAACAACTGTCTTTCATGTGAGTTATTTATACTTTAAAGTTTTATATCATACTATTCGATCGTTTGTGTTTATTATGATACAATATATACTCTGTTCATAAAATAGAATAAACAACTTTTCCTTCGAACTGAACTGTTTGGAAAATTGTTTTAATAAATAAACAAATAATTTAGTCATGTTTTATGATAGGAATCCTAAAATAATAATATGAAGTTTTTAGTACAAATGTTCAAAAACTAAAAATTTCACTCTTCTTTGAAGTAAATATAAATAAAAATGCATTTGTTTAATTACTAGATGATCGATAACATGTGGAATTTGTCGACCTGCCTTCTACCTTTCTAAGAAGAGAGAGTCCTGATGCTGGCTACCATTTATAGATTTCAAGAATTTATATACTAGACTAAGTGCTTTTAATGTCTTTATTACCATTGTTTTTATTATTCACATTCTTTTATCAAAAACTTCTTAGATTTCAAAGTTGTAAAAGTTATGCCCTTTAAATACTTTGTAAATTTCTTGCGCTATGAGGTATATTTAATACTTTTATAACTATAAATCCCTAGCAAATGTCTCAGATGAAAAAATTAGCCAAATTAATTATGATTACAGTGTGGTTATTTTAATAATATTTTGTGCTATAAAATTTGATTTCCCAAATGATTAAATTCAAACAATAGAAAGAAAATCTTGTGATAATGTATGATGCTTCACGAGAGAAGGGACCATATGACATAAGAGTGGAGCGACACATATGTAGTTATCCGTCCATCGAATCACATTATTGCAAACAATAATGCTGTTTATATTATATAAACTAATTTGTAGGGTTTATAATCATGAGTTTATACTGAGCAGAGGATTATATTGTGTACTGACACAATGATATTCAGTACCGTCCGCTAGTATTTGGACGCTATTTTTTTCATGAGTGAAAAAAATGTAAAATCATAATAAATAGGATTAAAAAAAAAATTTTTCAGAACGCTGATAAAATTATGAAAAGAATCGAAGAATTTGCATTTAGGTTTCCTTTAGATGCAGAAGAAAATGTCTATTTTGTATGATTTTCGTAATTTTTTAATTTTTCGGAAAATAATTGACGTTTCTTGAAATTCTTGGAGTCATTTTTATATGTATTTGATGCAGAATTTAAATTACCTACTGGTATTTTGATATATATTTTTTCAAGAAATATTTTTCAGCCATGAAAGTAGGTTCAAAAAATCTGAAAACAATATCATGAATATTAAAGTGTTGATAATGGTTTCATAAAATATGCACAATTAATAGATTCACTAAAATTTGAGAAAGCTTCTTGATTATTAATTTATTTAATTTAAAAAAATTTTTTTTTATTTTTTTATTTATTTTTTGATTTTTTTTTATCCTACTTTCACGGCCTGAAATTTTTTTTGGAAAATATGTATCAAAATACCAGTCCGTAATTTGAATTCTACATTAAATAGAACTTGAATGGGGAAATGGAACGGTTAAAAATAAAGTCTAATGTTTTCGAAGCTCTTGCCCTAAAATTGAAAATTTGTGGAAATAAAGTTATTCTGAAGGAAAGCAAATACCCAATTCCTTTACTTTTAAACTTATAAGCTTGATAAATTGCAAAGTCTTACAGAACATCATACAGATTCAGATTCACTTGACTTGAAAACGTCGATGCTTTATGCCAAGCTTTATACCACATTATCCAAGCCCTGAAAAAATCATCCGTTTAAACCACAATTTTGTATACATGATTGTACATTATTACCGGAAGACTTAGATTAGTTTAAAATGTAATGCAATGGTTAAAAATCAGGTATGTTAAAAAGATCTTAAAAATCTATCACATCACAAGAAATTTACATTATGAAATTTCAAGAGCACAATTTAAGGTAGACTATTTTGTAAAACGTTAACTTCTTGTTGAAAAAGTCAGGATAAAATGTTCAAAAAAATATTCTTGTAAAATTATAATTTGTTTTATTATAAGAAATTCAACCGATTAAATTTTTTCAAAAATCCCCCCCACAATTTTTATATATTAATATGATAAATATATCCAGGAATTTTTACCCAACTTCGTTAATATCTCTTCGAGTTATGGTGTTCACAAATAACGGGATAAACACACTCACACACATACATACATCAGGACAATTGATCAGGGTTTCATATGATATAATCCTATATTGCAGAAAATTTGTTCATACCATTCTCAAAAATTTTATAAATGGAAGGACTACAAAGCTTCCTCTGGGAGGGAGCAAAAATTTTGAAAATTTGTTTTTTTATTAAAAGAAAAGATAATTTTTCAAAAACGAGTTAAATATATGATGACAAATAGGCGCTTTATCACATCTCGCCTTACGTTTTAAAAACTGGTTAATTTTAAAGAATAAATCTATTTTTCTATAAGAATAAGAATTCATTTATGGTTGCGCTGAAAATTCACTGTCATTAATTTTTTTAAGAACAAAATTTTCTAGGCAAGCAAAATATTTAATAAATAAATTTTTGTAAAATGACAAATTATTCATTAAGAATCAAAATATTTAATATAAAAATGAAAATAAAAAAAGTAAGTATTTTCATTAAAAATGGAAACCTTTACATCAATAGATTTGAAAATTGTTATTTATTCTTCGAAAGCAAAATGGAACTATAAGAATAATAGGGTATCTTTTGTATTTTCCATCAAATTTTCATTGTTTAGTGACTCTTCTAACATTATTTATTTTTCTTTTTATTCTGTTTTTGAATAAAAGTTCTTAAACTTATTTTCTCAATCAGTTTCAAATATACATTCACATATTCAAGTGACTTGAGTGTATGGTGATAAAAAAACAAATGAAAAATGTTAAACTCATAAACAATTTTATAATTTGGCCATTGAACGATTTTTTTAACGAAGCGTTTAAGAAAACTTATCAGTGAGTATTATTATCTTTTTTATAAAAAATGGTTATTATTATTTCTTATACAAATATTCTCATTTCATTCTTTACAATCTCGAGAAAAACTAAGATTTTAAAAGCTCAATATTTTTAAATTAAATTTCTAACCCCAAAAATATAAAACAATTCATGACAATGACGTACAAATAATATTTAAATTAATAAAATATTTTTCAATTAACCAATGTTAAATGAATAATTTTTTTTAAGTAACTATAAAAAATTTTCAATGGTCATCACTCAATGCATATGTTGAATAAACTTGTAGAAGATTTAAAGTTAACTTCTGTGTTTATTTTTGGAATGGCAGAAAAATTCAACTGAAATTTTTTTATTACAGCGAATAAATAACGTTTTATTTTTTTATTCTCCAGAAGCAGGGCATTTTAAATACGAGAATTTTTTCATTAATATTGAGAAAAATATAATTTTTTCTATAAACTCAATTTTATCGGTTAATTGTCCTAATGGTTAAGATAAACATATTAAAAGAAAAAATAGTTCACCATTTTCAAATTTTTCTTTTCGAAAAATCAATTTTTTGTGATACACTATTGACTTCTTTTAATTTCGGGAGTTAAAAACAAAAAAAATTGAGAAATACTCAACTTCTTTGAAAAATCGATCCTCATGATTACAACGATGATTTTTCTTCAAACATAAGATGAAAATAGGAAAACAATAAGGCGCTTGACCAATTTCCGTTCTTTATTATTTTTTTGAACCATAATTCGTTTGTCCAAAGAGGAATTGTTCCATCATCGTTGATCCAAAAATATGAATAAAGTATAGTGCCTTTGCACATGTCTCAAGTTTTTCCCTAAAATCTGAATTATTTATAAATTGGAATAGTTGATTCTTAAGTTTAAAAAACGTTAATTATGCAAAAGTTATTTAAATATTTGATTACAATTAAGCGCTTGACCATCTTATACCTTATTTTATCAAATCGTTGATTCTTTCGAAAATTAGATTTTTTACAGAATTTAGATAAAGTCTTTTTAGGTTTGAGCGGAAAAATCAGAAAACTGAAGCACTTGTTTATTGTTTCACATATTTTTATAAAAACAGAATTTTTTTATCTGTAAAAATATTTAAGTAATAAATAAAATACTTTTTTGAAAACTGTAAAAATAGTTATTAATAAAGAAAACATTGAAAAAATTGCTTTCTTTAGCAATTATTAGCGGTCATATCAAATTTTAATTTTTTAATTATTCTTCAAATAATGTTTATTTTTTCATTCTTTTTTAAATATATTTTTCGGAATGGTCGATTTTAAAATTATTTTTTGACATTCAAGTGACTTGTATGTTGTTAAAAAACAAATGAAAAGTGATAATCTCTAATGTAAAGGGACATTTAGTAAATTTGACATTGAAAAATTTTCTTGATCGAAGGGTTTAAAAAACTTCTGTGTGAATATTTCAGAAACATACATTTTTTATTAACAATAATTCAAATTACCTTATTCCATTTTTACGATTCAGAGAAAAAATAAGTTTTAAAAAATACTTTTATTTCAACTTTAAATTCATAACCCTAAAAATTAAATAATTTTTTCATCTTAATGATGCACAAACATTAGATTAAACAAATATATATTTCGATGACTCCTAAATGAAAACGCACCATTCGCGAGGGCGTTTATTTACCAAAACAAATAGAAAACACTACTATTCGCTAAAACGGATAGAAAGCGTGTAACTGATAGAATGTATTTTTTCGGTACAAAGTATTGAAGATTAAATTAACGTATATAATTAAAATATTACTAATTTGAAGTGATAAAAATATATTTACAGTTTATATGATGTCTATGAAACAGAATATAACCCTTACGATATAAAAAATTTTAATATTTGATTTTTAATTTTAAACAATGATAATTATTTGAAACTTATCTGAATATTTGATAACTTTCAAGCGCTTGACCATTTTTCGCCTTGATTTAGCAAATCGTTGATTTTTTCGAAAAATCGATTTCTTTACTAAACCGGGAATTTTTTTAGGTTTCAGCTGAAAAATCATAAAACTAAAGCACTTGTTTATTATTTCACTTTTTTATAGAAATCAAATTTTTTTGTCTAAAAAAATATTTAATAAAATTTTTTTTGAAATACGTCGAAATGTTCATTAAAAAAAATTACTATAAAAATGAAAATAAAAAAAATTTATCTTCAGAAATGAAAACGTAAAAATCAATGCATTCAGTATTTTTAGAAATTTGAAATTTTTTTGTATTTAGAAACCATGTTTCTGTCCTTTTTTTTAAATTATTCATTTGTCGAAAAAGTTATTTCCCTGAATCGTTGATTCATAGTTATAAAAAATAGTATATTTGTGCATTTTTCAAATATTTCCCTAAAATTTAAATTATTTAAAAAATTTGCATAATTGATTTTTAATTTTAAACAATGATAATTATTCAAAATTTATCTGATTAATTCATTACATTTACAATTATGCGCTAGACTATCTTTCACCGTATTTTAACAAATTGTTGATTTTTTCGAAAAATGGATTTTTTAATTAGTCCGGGAACTTTTTTTGCTTGAGCTAAAAAATCAGATAATTAAAGGGCTTGATTATTGTTTGACTATCTTTCTAGAAATGAAATTTTTATCTCTAAAAAATATTTCACGAATACAATTCTTTTTTGAAAAATGCCAAAATATTCATTAAAAAACAAAACATTTAATACAAAAATGAAAATGCAAAAAAAATTATTTTCTTTAGAAGTGAAAATGGTCACAATAATAAATTAAATAATTATTATGTTATTACCAAATCACAATTTACTGGGCATAAAAAATGTTTTTTTTTAATCGTCTTTTAGATTTTGATTAACTATTCTTCTAAATTTACTTACTTTTTAATTAATTTAATTGTATTTCTTTTAATAAAATTGTCAAAATGTTATGTTAATAAGCTTGAGGTGTGCTTGTACACATTCAAGTGACTTCAAATTAATGGTAATAATAAAAAACAAATGATAAATTTGTAGTCATAAATATTGTTAATTGGTATTTTGTTAAGGGCATAGCGGATTAAGCATGAAAAAGTTGCCCTCACATGTTTTCTAAAAACCAAAAGAAAAAAAATTTTTTAAATATTCAAAAAAAATTTTTGATTTTGTTTAAAGTTACACCTTTAATTTTTTTAAAATACCTTATAGTGTATATACTTCTTGAGACGTAATTAAGACATTTTTAAAAATAAAAAATTTTTGTAAACAATGTTTTGAAGAAATATTTAATATATTAAAAAAATTTTTTTTTGAAAAATTTTTTTTTTAGATTTTAGAATTGTTTTAAGCGTACTGTTAACATATCCAAAGTTTATTAAAATGGGTTCCGTACTTTACGACAAAAATGGAGTTTTTGAATTTTAAAAAGTTAAAAAATCATATTTCTCAAAATGTATATTTTCAAAAAATCTGGGGAAACTATGTTTTAATGGTACACTATGAGATATTTTTTGAAAAAAAATTGAAGATGTAACTTTACAAATCGCAAAAAATTTGTTTTTATATTTCAAAAATTTTTATTTTTATAAGTATTGTTCACACATCTAAAGCTCATTAAAATTGCTTCAGTAGTTTTCGAGAGAAACGGATGTTTTTATTTTTCTTTCCCCCTCCATAACTCCTACAGAAAAGCGAATTGAAGGTTTTAAACTTGCAGGATTTTTTATTAATTTGAGCTGAATACATGCGGGGCAACTTTTACCTTCTTATCCCCCTGTGCTTTTTGCGATTTACAAATTTTTTGATCAAAGCATTGAAGAAAACTGAATAGTTTGGAATATTTAATAAATAAAAATGATACATTTGTCCACTTTGGACTTTTTATAAATAATCGATTTTTTGTTCAGTCATTGACGTTTTATCAAACGGTGATTTTCTTTTGAGTTTAAAATACATGATGATAATGCATTTTTGTTTTTTGACTTTTTTCTGGAGAATCAGGAATAAAAATTTTACCATCTAAAAATTTGTATATTATATTAGGTTTATACATAATATTTTGATTTATAG